TTTCATGTTACTCCCTCTGTTTCTCAATAGTCTCACAAGGATTTAAACATATGTTAGAGAAATGCTCTTGAATAAGACCATCCCCCACCATCCATCTTTAGGAGAAAATGACTTGTATTTCCTACAATTATACGTAAATGATGGGCTAAGATAAGGTCATACACTCAGCTGACCCAACCAAACCTCTAATAACTTGGTGTTGCACATTCATGCCTAGTAAAACACTCTTGTTAAGATTAATAAATAATCTCGAGTTATTCTCATACCTTATCAAGATGTGATTGCATTACTAAACATATCGAGATCGAGAGACCATTAGAGGATTCTGACATTTCTAGACTAGAGGTTGGGAACCTTTATCTCATCCTCCCCCTCTACTAATTGCTTTCACCAATTATCTCTTTCTCTCTCTCTCTCTCTATTTATTTATTTATTTGTAAATTAAAGAAGATCTGTTCATGAAGAGGATTACCTCCCCCTTCCAAATTGTGGAAACTCTTCTATGCTCTTTTATTCATGGAGAAAGTGTTAAGAAGAATGCCAAGCTTCTTTGGCAAGGGGCTATATTTATAGGGTTGTGGTGTTTATGGCTCTCTCAAAACCTTCGGATCCTTAAAGACCATCACGCATCCTTTCATTAGTTATGAGACAAAGTTACCTTTTTGATTGCCCTTTGGGTTAAAGCATATGGACACTATCATAATACTAGTATTTCAACACTTCATTGGTAGTTGACATGCTATTATTTGCTCATAGGATAATCACTTTGTTATGATTTTTTTTTTGTTTTTATGATTCTTTAGGCATTGGTGCAAGAAAGAATCTACCTTGCTTCAAAACTCCAACATACATGATCATAAGTCATCTCCATGTCTAGTTTACACAAAACTCCATCCCTCTTCTTGCACGCCAGTTCATCCGCCACTTTATTCGCCATTTACACAACATCCATAATTTGCTTGCCTTCCATAAATACATGTTGACTCTCCCCAGTTACTTGCCCTAACACCTTGTACATTAAAAAATAAGCTTATAAATGCACCCTACTAAGCTGATTAGTTTGAAATTTCTCATATTTTTTTGCCCCTTACACTTTAATTATGAGAACAAGAAGTGAAGAATTCAAGGATTTCACAAATGTCCCATTCTCATGTAGCTCCATGATATCACCCTTAATGATGTTCCAGAATTTTTGAATGAAACCCATGTTAAACTTGTTTGGTTCCGGTGCTTCATCTTTATCACACTGCTTTAATCCTTTTAAAATTTCCTCCTCTGTAAACTCTCTCTAAAAGTGTTCTCGACTCATCTCGTCTAATTCATTGCAGCCCATTATGTCTAGACCTTTTGCTGATCTCCTCTTCATACAATTGATGGACGGACTTCTTAGCTTCCTCTCTCAGACTCTCGTTTCCCTTTACCATGCGGTTTCCTATCTTCATCTCCTTAACATAATTGATTCTTCTTCTGTAGTTTGCTAGACAGTGAAAATACGTGGTATTTCTCTCTCTTTCTTTTAACCATTTCTCTTTGCACTTCTGTTGCCATGAAATCTACTCCATCTATAACCTGTTTGCCAACTCTATTCTCAAAGACTCTTTGAGTGCCAAATCTTCTTGCGACCACCCCCTTTTCCCCGTCCTTATCAAAGCTCTCAGTCTCTTGCAATAGAGGATGAATCTTCACGTCCTCCCTTTTTCCCTTCTCCTTTCCCGACTTCTTGACCTCTCCTTTTGTTGCCTTGAGTTTGCACAACTCTAAAACTTGCCTTATCAAGCACTTCAGTTTCGTTCCACCACTTCTCTATATTGTACTTGGAATTCTCTACTTTTCACCACTTGTTATCAAATCTGAACAACACTGGTCTCGTTTGTATTCCATCTAAAACCAGATTGGTGGAAAAGTGATCAGATATGAGTCTTTGTAGAACCCTTGACAAAAGTCTGAATCTAAGCAAGGCAACTTGTAGATGCCAAGAGCCTATCTATCTCAAACAGAATGGTGGGCTTCTTTCATTCGTCTATATCCATTTTCCTCCTATAAGCAGCAAATCGCCAAGTCTAACCTATCCATGTTTTCTTTAAATTCATCAGCACAACTTCGTGAGTATTGCTCTCACGATCTTTCATTTATGGATAGAACTGTATTGAAATCACTACCCACCACCCGTAGCCCATTCCAGTTTTGCCAACACTCTTCTAAATCTTTCCACAACTCTCCCTCTCACTACTCAATCCCTTGTTATACACATCAGTAAACATCCACTCCCTATCCCTCTGACAATTCTCAAACACACAAGATATTGTAACCTCTCCAATCAACACCTCCTTACACCTTTATTTTTCCTCCCTCCATATAACAATAACCCGTCTTGCGGTTCCCCTTGCGGGCAAGACTTGCCGCCCAATTTCGTTAACTGTCCACAAGCTTTTAATCACCCTATCAGATGAAGTTGGCATTTTTTGTTTCTTGGAAACATAGGACATTTGTCCACTTATTCATGCAACTCCTTATGACTTGTCTTTTTTTCTGATCATTGAAACCTCGAACATTCTAAGATATAGTTTTCCCGATCATCAATTATTCTTCCATTGTACAACCCCCTATTCTCTTGCTCCCCTTTCTCTGACCATCATAATTGATAGAAGATTGAAGCCTTCTCAACTCCTGTTAGCCTCCCTCCCCTTGTTTTCTTTTCTCTTTCCTCACGGTTTCCTCCATCATCTTTTTCTCCCTTCTCATTCTTTCTATCTGTTCAAATGACTCTATCACTTGCGTCTCTATGCCGTCAAAAGTGACCCCCACCAGGTTTCTTATTCCTGAATATTCTGTAAAACCCACATTGATGCCCGTTCCTATCTGTCAACTCTGTCCTTCAGCTCCCAATTTTCTCCTCCCTGTTCTTCTCCCTCAGCATCCTCCTCCGTGAAAGCTTTACCATCTTTCTCCTTCACTATTGGAATTGCCATGTCCTCACCTTCTTTCTCCCTCTCTTCTTCTTCGCCTTCTCTCTCCCCCAACTTGATTATTTCACCCCTCATTTTTTTTCTTCTGCTCTCGCACCCTCAATCTCGATACTCTCTCCATTTGCTTTTGCACTTCTGATTTGATTTTGCTCTTCTTCTTTTTCATCTCCTCCTTTCCATCTGCCTGACCTCTTCTTTGCTTCTTCCTCACTGTCCTCTCCTCCTTGTTCCTTCTTTCCTGTCGGGTCAGACGAGCTGGAGCCTTTTCTCACGAGTCTCTAAACCCATTTGACCCATGGATTTAACTTCCAACCTAATCTTCTGCTCGGTCTAGCCCGCTCGATCCATTTTCATTTCTCTGCCCAACTTCATTTTGTGGGCTTCAAAAAATCCATATGGCCGCTTCAAAATCCTTGGCCTATAGACTTTTCTTTTTGTTTTCTCAAAACGACACCCATTGTGAGCGTTTTGAAGGAGTCCAAATCGGCAGGCTTTTTTTCCATTTTGAAATTCGAATGTGACCCAACCCACTTTGTTCTTCGTTTTCTCCTGCCCTAACTAGTTCTTTTCACACCCTCTGGTTTTTAACAGCATCCACAAATGTCATCTCGCTTGGCCCTTCAACTAATATGCAAATCTCATTTCTGCAATGCAAGTATTGGATCAAATTTTTCCTCTGAGTTGTTTCATTTACTTCACCTTTCCCATATTCTCCCCCGATTGCCACTTTCTTCCCTCTCTGATCTGCGTTTTCGATCAGTTTATCGGCCAGCTCAAACATTGCCCTGATAAGGTTTCACCATTCCCCTGCTTGCTCTCTGTCCGGAATGAAGATCTTCTTTATCACCTCTCCTCTTTCCTCTGAGAGCACCAAAAATCTTTTTTTCCTGTTTCTTCCAAGTGCCACTCAAAGCTTGTGGTTTCTCCCCATCTTATTATTGCCCCAATATTTGCCACCCTTCCTCCAGTAAAAGTCTTTTAGGGCCTCCACTAACCATGCAACATCCTCCTTCACTAGTGATATAGAAACCCCAAAACCCCTCCCATTCTCACTAATTCTCATCCCCTCCATATCCTTCCCCTCTCACACCACATCGAAGGATTTGCTTTCAATCACAAAAAACATCCGCCTTTAATGTGCCATCCCTCCCTCTCCCTTCTGGTCGACATTTCTACCCATTCCCTTCCTTCTTTTGTTTCTCCTTCTTTGCTCACCAAATCCCCTACTCAGATCTTCTTTCATACCCTCTTCACTCTCTGTCGCTTAGTCTTTCTCAGTCTCTCTCAATTGCTCAGTCTTTCTTAGTCCCTTCAATCTCATGACATCTATTGCTTCATCATGAACTGGCTTGGAAACTATGGACTATGCTTTCCGAAACCTTTTAGTTCTCTTGGGTTGTCCCACTTTTATTTTTCCAGGTCTTACTTGACAAGAAACAAGGTGATAAAGGACATGAGGCTGTGGGTGTTATGATTGGAGCATAATGTCAGAACTTTCAACAATCACTTTACGCCTCAAATTTTTGGAGTGATTAACTTCTTTGGTCGCTTTGAGCTAAGGCTCATAATTCATTCAATATCTCGTTATCCATTCTCCAAAGGAGTTGGGAGGCAATTATTTTGTTTTGAAATAAGAGTAGGGGGCAATCTTATTTTGATTTTCTTTGTTCTTTTTATTTTGTTTGCCTCTGCATTTTAGGAGATTTTACGAGCATGCCTTATCCTCCGCTTCATAAGTTTTCTTCTTCTGCTGTCTGATAAATTTCTTTTCTTATTTTAAATAAAAAATTTCAAGCAGAGGAAAAAGAATATTTCTCACCTCACAAATCTTGTGTGTATTGGATGCAAACTGAAATCTTATCCTTTTGAAATTGTTATTCCTCCCAACTGTATGAGATCTTGGATTGTGATTTTGATTTTGCTAAGATTAATTGGATTTTCGTAGGAAAATATTAATTTACATTTATGAAATAATATTGTGTGTATGGATGATGGAGCTGTAGAATGTTGTAAAAAGAATGATTAACAAGTTTTCGTTTCGTTTATGGAAAAAAAGGTTATTATGAACAAATTATTCTCTTGGGCTAAAGCACGTACACCTTGCTCATTTCCTTATAGTTTGATTGAGAAAATTAATGTATTTGGTCTTTCTTCACTATCTTGTAGATATTTACTCATGTTCCTTACCCATCAAAGAAAATATATTTGTCATCTTCCCTATTCATCGATAAAAATTATTATGTTCATTCACTTTTATGTTTCTAATAGGGTAGTTTTGCACGATCTCCTTAACGGGATTATGTCAAAACGGGAGGGATATGGAGCATCTTGGCATTTGATGCAACAAAAGTTGCTGTCAATTTATGGGGAGGCTCTTTCATCAAATTGCAGAAGTCTTGTTCAGATGATCCAGGTGGTTCTCTTTTTCTTTTAACTGCTCTAGGTCGTTACTGGTCTGGTTAGTACAACTAACAATTTCAGGCTCAAAACAATTTTGGTCCTTGATTAACGTCTGTTGCAAAACCCAAAATCCTATAGATTTCTCTTTTGCTAAAAGAAATTTATTAGAAGGAAGTAAAGTTTTTAAGGGAAATAAAGTACCCTCCAAAAAGAAGAAATGATGAATAAGAAAGACAAGCTGCGTCAATACAAGATCACTTTCTGATCCCTTTTTAGCAGAGAAGGAATCCCCTAAAGAGGCAAAACACTCAATTCTCTGCCAAAGATCATTGACCAAAGGAATCCATTGTTTACACCAAGTCTCTAAGACATGCTGTCAAGCTGGTCATATTTATGCAGCTGTGTTTGAGTAACTACTGTGGTTGCTTGTTATTTTACAAGGTGATTTCTGCAGGTTTTACAAGACGAATTGCTCCTGCAAGGGATTCAGATGTCTGTATCGCTTGACAATAACAGAATTCCACCCCCAATAGAGAGCTTTCAGAGATACCTGGTAGAACGTAAAACTGATCCAGATTTTGAGGACACAACTTCACCTTTAAATGTGGCTGTTACTTCTTGTATAAGAGACATGTACCATTTCGCTCGTGTTTCCGGATCACATATGCTTGAATGTGTCATGGATGCTGCTCTCTCTGCCGTGAAGAAGGAGCACCTTCAAGAAGCTAGCAATGTATGTGGTTCGTTTTAGTTTAGATTATTGTGCAAGTATGGTAGCGATACTTTTTATCGTTTTGCAAACTGCTTTTTTTTTTAAATTTCTTTTTCAGGTCAATACTGAACATCTGAAAATTTTATTGTTGTAAAGTTCATTTGTTCAAATATTGGTAGGTTCTTCTGCTATTTCCTCGACTTTGTCCCCTAGTAGCTTGCATGGGTTGGGATCTGTTATCTGGTAAAACAGCAGCACGGAGAAAATTGATGCAACTGCTGTGGACAAGTAAATCACAAGTATTTCGGCTGGAAGAATCTTCTCTTTATGGAAGCCGGTCTGATGAGGTGATATCTAATTTTTAATCATTATAAGGAATTTTTTAATATCATACAGTAAATGGAAAATGGCAGGTTTTTTTTAATCTTTCTCACTCTCATTTTTGGCAGATATCTGTTGTGGAACATCTTTGTGATTTATTATGTTACCAGCTTGATCTTGCCTTGTTTGTTGCTTGTGCCAATTCTGGTCGATCATGGACTTCAAAATTCTCTTTGCTTATGTCTGGGAATGAGCAAATAGCATTTGGAAATGAAGATGTACAAACAGACCCTTTTGTTGAGAACTTTGTGTTGGAAAGGCTTTCTGTTCAAAGTCCCCTTCGGGTAAGACACTGTATGTTATAGTTTTACATTAAGCCTGTAACAGATTATGATACTAATTGTTGCTAGTGCAATAACCTTAGGAAGTTGTGGTGGCACAGAAATAAAATGAGATAGATAGAAATGGTGTTAATTCCAATAGGTGGCAGGTTGAATATTTATTTTTTGAAAGAAAAAGAACTTGTTAGCCAAGAGACTGCAAACAGAAGAGTCTAGATATCTCACACAATAAAGAAAACAACAAAAAGAAAAAAAAGAGGAGAAAGGGGCAAACATTAATGTAAGACAGCCTCCCATTCTTTTGCATTATAGACAAAAGGCAAACACTGACAGGGCATGCACCTTGGCCCATGAAGAGGCCAACACATGAATCTATCCTGAATAGCATGTGTAGGACTGATAGAGCCAAATATGGTATTGATGGTAGGGTTGGAGAAAATGCAATGCCAGACAACCCTGTGTCACAAATTTGTGGAAATGGATAAGCAAGAATTTGGTGTCAGGTATTGTGTGAGATTCAGAGTTGAAAATTGCTCTTATTTTGGGTTTTTGGGAAAGTGGTGGTTTGGTGACTGTGTTTTGAAAGTTCAGTACTGGAGTATTTTTAACTTGCCCAAAGGCAAAGTTGCAATAATTAGGAACTTAATGGCACTAGGTATTAATTGACATTGGGGCATTCAAGTAACTAGAAACCTCCAATAATCGGGGAGTTGATGAGATGATTTCCGTGTCGGCTCAGCTGGGCAGTTGTTATCTTGACCTCTTACAAGATGATTATCCTGAATTTTCCCTCTCTAAAGACAGAATGTTTTCCTTGAGGTCCTACAACAACTTGCTGTCCCAATATGAGGTGGCTTTAGATTCCCTTGGGAGTAGAGTTGGTAGTCCAAGTCCTTTCCCATATTTTCCTCTTTGTTTGGTGGCAGATTGGAAGTCCAAGTCTGGATTCATTAATCAGGATTTAGGTGAGGGATGAAAAGACTCGAGCAATGTCATTAAGTCCATAGAATTAAATGTCTTTTTTATCAGTGTTAATTTTTAGTAACATGAGAACCCTGTTCAGTGACAGAAGAAGCAATAGGATGATTGCGACATAAGGGGAGCGTGTCTCTCTCAACAAGGAAGCTTCCCAGAATAAAAATGATCACCAACCTTTAAATGAAGCGAAGGAGAGAAATGTGCATGATACACACATATATCAAGAGCTTCGGTGAGTCATGTTTGCTTCTTCTTGGTGTCCCCCTCTTCCAAGTACAATGAAACCGCTTTTATTAACCTATGCTACGAAATTGGCAGCCCAAGAGGAAAATGTATGACGTGGCCACTAAAGCGAAACTTTTGAAATCCATATTCTTGAGATCCAAGCAGTCTTCTCATGTCTTCCAACCAGCACCAATTGAAACAAAGACCCTTGTTACTTTCTTATTTTCATCTGGCACAATCATGGGAATCTTGAGAAGGGAAAGGTTATTTTTTTTGGAATTAAAAAAAAATTAAATAAAGTCAATGTAAAATAATGTCTGACCCCGGGTTTGAACAGAGGAACTCTGGTGTGTGAGTTCACTGTGATGACCAACTACACCACCCAGACAGAATTGAAAGGGAAGGTTTATTAGGGAATGCTGGATAAACAAGCTTGAACATGAGCAACCCTTGTTTTCAAAGAAAAAAGTGCCTTTCTATTTGCATAACCTTATGAAAAAATTTAATAATCACCATTCCCAAAAAGTACTTGCTTGGCAATTTGCCCCCGGTGGAACCTCTAGGTAAAGAATCTGCCAACTGAAAATTCCACAACTTGTAATCTCTTCAAACTTCTATAGCACATGTCACCAACATCAGTGCGACCTTAGTCATTATTACTTCAGTTAATCCTGAGGCTAGAAACCATCTCAAAAGTCTAAAGCAAGAAGATCACATCAAGAAAATTTGGTGTGTCCTGAGGAAAAAAGCTAATGTCATCATTAAATTGTAAACGAGAGATTTCCACTTCCTCAGCTTCAATTTTTAAGCTTTCACCAACAATGGCCTAGTCCCTTGTGAAATAATCTGGCTAAGAACATAAATTAAAAGGTTAACATTGGAGAGTTTTTTAGAGGGATGAAGAAAACATTGCTGTGATTTTTTTTTTTCAAAATATAATCCTCTTGACAATATGTGGGTGATAGAGATGTTGACATGTGACTGCTAATTTATTCGGATGGCACCTCGATCATCTTTTGTACATGGATTCAAAGCAGTCTATGGTGCATGTTTTCTTTTGGGGTTACCCCTGTTCATTATGCAGGTAGGAGTTTACCCTTCTTTCCTTTCCATGAAAGAAACATGGGCAATCGACTGTCACAGTACACTTTATCAAACAAAATGTTCTTTTATTCCTTCAGGGTTGTTTTTTTTATTTTATTTTGTTTTTGTTTTTTTTTTGCTTTTTCCAGCATAGAAACCAATAGGCAAAAATCCCACAGAAGAGAATGCCCCTAATTCTCTCTGAGGTTTATCATGCTTATCATTCTTTTAGATTTTGGTTTGGGGACACTTCGAGGATGCGTTGCCTCTGTGCCCTACCCGGTTTCGGGTGGTAAATGGATGAGTCTTAATTATACTATGTTTTTTTCCTTAATCACCAAGGCAATGTTGAGGGCTGGTGAGCAAACGTAATTCTTTGGTAACTGAAAATTCTTGTGGTATGTGCCTCTTCATTGATGTCTAATTCACTGATTTTTTGAAAAAGAAAATTAGTTCTTGTAAATCAACTTCATTGATATATGAAGTATTTTAATTGCCAGGTTTGAATTTATAATCATCTTATGCTGTAACATTGGTTTGATTTTATATCGTGTGATCATCTTTCTTGTTCTTTTGAATGGTTGTCAAGTTGTAACAGGAATATTTCTGCAGGTATTATTTGATGTTGTTCCAGGTATAAAATATCAAGATGCTATTGAATTGATAAGCATGCAGCCTATATCTTCAAATATAGCAGCATGGAGGAGGTGCGTACAAAGCTTATCCTGTATTAATAACTGCATTGCAATTTGATATGTATGCAACTTTTCATATAGTCCATTTCTTTGATTATTAGTAAGGTGACTAACTTGTGATTTTGTTACGGGTCTAGAAATCGAAAAATCGGAAACTAAGAAGAAGAATGTCGTCTGGGCCTTCTTTCTTGTTTTGTTTTTGTTTTTGTTTTTTTTATAGAAGAAGAAATGCAATGTTGGAGGATAGGATATTCTCCTAAAGCGTTCTAATTTGTGAAAGCCAAAACCTTACAGCTGCAAAAACCAAAAATAAAAAAAAATTCGTTGTATTATCATTTCCCAATTTTTATGTAACATGAAATTGGAAATATTAGTAATTAACCATGGGTGTTCTCTCATAGGGAGGCCAGAAGGGTCATCCTCTTCTACTGGAACTGAAAAGAGAGTGATCGGTTTTCTTCTTTTGTTCCATATTTTGAATAAATTGTTTGGGCTTGTTAGAAAGAACCGAACGATTTCTGAGGGTCAATACTTAACATGTGATGTAACTGAACATCTAAAACCTGAAGTAAAACTGAACAAGAAAACAAAAACTTAGTTGCATTTTGTGTTGCCTTATAAACTGAACAAAGATAAGTTGGGGTAATTTCTGGACTGGCCAAGGAATTGTGATTATGACAAGCCAAAAGAGCCAGTAGAGAACATAGCTCATCCATTTCCTATTCATTGAGATTACATCTAAATGAGAGATTCTGAGTAGGGGCCTCATCACTATAATCGGCAAAGCCCTTTCTCCTACAAGACTAGAGATGCTAGGAAGCTAAAGCTTCAAGGGATGATCAAAAACCAAATATCCACCTAGAAATGAACAACCTAGCAATTGCTAAATTTGTTTTGAACTAGGTCTGTCACATTATTAAGACACTATTGATCCGTTTCTTAGGTTAACGCTATAAGAGCCTATTTTGCTTCCCATCCTCCAGCCACTCTTAAGAAATACTACTAGAAGCCATTTTCTACAAGCCATAGAATGCTTGTTCACCAAAGATCTGATGCCTAAATTCGTTGCATGTGGTCTCTTCACGACTTTATAGGTCCCAGATAACATTTCTTCTCATTAGGAGAAATCCCTAAAATAATTTGCACTAAATTGGTGGGGAAAACATTCCTTACATGCTAAAGTAGGGAACAAGTAGTCGATTTGTCGATTTCATGGAAACTCTTGGTGACATTGGGCCTTTCTTCCTCAACAATGTATCTTCTTTTCTACCCAACCAATCTTCTTTCTATTTTGCAGAAGATAGGATCCAAGACCTCATTATCTTTGTTTTGGCACTAAGGTGCAAGCTGATATATTGCTCGAGGATAAGTGAAATAGTTGGATTTGCATCCGAGGATTCTAGCGTGTTGTTCCACAACATATTCTCATTAAACGTATATATGTAATTTCTATGTGGAGTATGTTGTTGGTACATTTATTTGGATACTACTTTTATATATGGACAACCACATTTTCATCATGCACTTAGGAATATGTTGTGGGAACATGGGCGAAGATGCTTCGGTTAGTGCTTTTTGAATGTGTAAAGAGTTGTGGAAGAAAAATACTAAATATTTCTTATATTTCATTCTATAGGTTTAGAGATAGATACGCATAGAAGAGGGAGCTATATATGGAAACATAAATGCTAGAAAATTAACTAATAATTATATAAGAATATTCCGTAATATATATTGTAATATTCTAACACTCCCCCTCAAGGTAAAACGTAAATATTAATCATGTCCAGTTTGTTACGAAGATATTCAATTCGGGTTCCATTCAAAATTTTTGTGAATATATCACCTAATCGTTTCTATGTTTTTACATGACCGGTAGAAATCAAGTTCTCCTGAATTTTCTCATGAATGAAGTGATAATCAATCTCGATATGTTTGGTTCTTTTATGGTACACCGGATTTGAGGCAATAAAAAAGATAATTTGATTATCACACTAGAGTTTTGTAGGTAATATGAGATTCAAATCCACTTTCGCTAAGAGGTGTTGTATCCGTAAGACTTCACATGTGGACTGGAGTATAACTCTGGATTCGGACTTTGCACTGGATCGGAACACAACAGTTTGCTTCTTACTCCTCCATGATACCAAATTCCCATCAACGAAAACACAATAACCTGTAGTGGATTTTCTATCAATTTTAGATCACACCCAATCAACATATGCAAAACATTCAATATGAGTGTGCTCATGATTACTAAACAATATACCAAATCCTGGAGCACCCTTTTAGGTAGTACAAAATCTGTTCCAACGCCTCCCACTATTTTACTGTATGTGCATACATAAATTGACTAATAACACTGACAAGATATGCAATATTTGGATGAGTCGGTGTGAGATAATTTAGTTTTCAACTAATTGTCTGTACCTTTCTGGATCATCAAGGGGGGTCGCCATCATCTTTAGTAAGATGTACATTTAGTACCATTGGTGTGTTACATGGTTTAGCTCCAAACTTTTCGGTTTCTGCAAGTAGATCAAGCACATATTTCCTCTGAGATAAGAAAATCCATTTCTTGCTGCTTATTACATCTATTCTCAAGAAGTATCTTAACTGATTTAAGTTTTTGGTGTGAACTTTGTATGGGAGAATGATTTGAGAGAGAATATTCCTACACAGTCATCTCTTGTAATGATAATATCATCAACATAGTTAATAAGAAGTATAACACCAGCTCCTGATTGTTTATAAAAGACTTAATGATCACACTTGCTATTTTTCAACTCAAATTTCAGACTTATTTCACTAAATTTGCTAAATCATGCACGGAGACTCTGTTTCAAACCATACAAAAATTTCTTCAAATGACAGACTTTTTCGTATTCTCCCTCAGCAACAAATCTAGGTGGTTGTTTCATATACACTTCTTTTAGGAGATCGTCATGAATGAATGCATTCTTAATATCCAACTGGTGTGAGGGTCAATTTCAAAATGCCGCAATAGAAATGAATAAATGGACAGATTAAGTTTAGCCACTGGAGAGAAGATATCTGAATAATCAACCCATAAGTGTGAACATAGTCTTTTACTACAAATCTGGCTTTAAGTCTCGCTACTGAGGTATCTGGGTTTACTTTGAATGAAAATACCCATTTACACCTCACGACCCTTTTTCTTTTGGTTAAATTCATAAAATCTCAAGTATAATTTTTATCAAGAGCATTTATCTTCTCAAGTATCACATTATACCAGTTAGAATGATTCAAAATTTTCTTAACTGTTTTAGGTATGAAAATCGAATATATAGAAGTAATGAAAGAGATAGGCGAGGGAGACATATGGTCGTACGAAATAAAATTAGCAATGGAATAAATTGGTTAAAGAATGGTGCACTGATGTTTACCTTATCGTCTGCCTCCTGACTTGTAGACTTGGACGATGAGGAGAAGAACGATGTATTATCTGAAAAGATCACATTAGTTGATAACAAATATTTATTGAGATATGGAGAGTAGCACCGGTATCCTTTATTAAGGTGACAATATTCAAAAAATGCACACTTCAAAATCTTTGGGTCCAATTTAGTCACACTAGGTCGTGCGTCTCGAATATAACAAGTGCTACCAAATATCTTACATTATACCGGAAACAAAGATTTGTTTGAAAAAGGAAGACTGTAAGGAACATCTCCATCAAGTATTGTAGATGACATATGATTAATCAAGAAACAAGCCATGGAAACAGCATCATCCGAAATTTGCTTAGGGACTTGCGTTTGGAACAAGAGGGCTCGAGCTGTTTCAAGTAAATGTCTGTTCTTTCTTTCACCGACTCTATTTTGAGAGTGTGTGTCAACATACGAGAATTGGTAAAAGATTCTGTATTGAGTCATATATGTTTCAAACAAGTCTGATATATATTTCTTGACATTATCACTTTTCAATACATGCACAGAAACATTGAATTGTGTGTTGACTTCAGCACGAAGAACACAGAAGTGAGAAAATAATTCAGAACGATTCTTCATAAAATATAATCAAGTCATTTGAGAAAAATCATTCATAAAGGTAATGAAATACTTAAGATCTGTTTTAGACGGAACAGGGCATGAAGCCCAAACATCAGAATGAACTAACTTAAAAGTAGATTTATCTCGTCTATTGGTCTTCGGACCTGACGGACTACGATAATGTTTTATAAACCGACATGACTCACAATCCAGTGAAAGTATATCATGGAGCTGAGAATATAATTTTTTCAACATAGATAGAGAAAGATGTCATAATTGACAATTTGCTTCAAACGGAGAGATAACATTAGAGTAAACAACCGATCAATGCACCAAAGTATCAACAATGTAGAGACTATCTGATATATTTTTTTTACCAATAATCTGTTTTGTCGTAAAATCTTGAAAAAGACAGTGATCAGAAAAGAATGTAATATAACAATTCAAATCTATAGTTAGGTTATTCACAGAAATTAGACTGAAGACAAGTTTAGATAGACTTAATACAGATGACAGAATAATAGATGAAGTTGGTTTTGTGATCGCAGGACCTACAATATTATAATTCGACCAATCAACAATGGTTAAAGGAAAAATGTGTTTTGTGTGGTCGAAAATTAGAAAAACTATTAGGATTACTTGTCATGTGATTTGTAACACCAGAATCAATCACTCCATTTGTTTGGAGGAGAAAATAAGATATTTTTTCTCTGATTCAGCAACAACTGAAAATTTATTTAAAAGTTTTTGATACTGAGAGAATTAACATATTTGTCAATTAAAATCATAACCGTTCTCTTAGAATATGAGCTAGCAGTAGCAACAACAATATTAACGGTCTGTGTCATCCAATTGCGATTATACAATTTCTTACAGTACCACTTTATATGCTCTCGTTCACGACAGTAATAACAAACAATGTCATCATTTATCTTAATTCAGGAATTATAAAAATATCACTCGAAATGCCTAAAATACAACAACAAGAGATACAAGGAAAACAGTGCAAATAAACCAAAAATTATGAGAAAACAGAGTACCTCTTATCACACGGAAACCAAAGAAACTACACTGCCACCATTGAAGACTGATCGTTGCTATATGTGCCGCTGTCGAAAAACCACTCGCCGACGCCGGAAAACGCCAAACGACCTCCCTTCATCCAGAAATCATCATAGAACTAGAATACACACCCGAATCCGGAATGTAGCTCCCAACATTGCCCTAAGTCGCACTGGAGAACTGGAAAAAGCTTGCTGTCGTGTGATCTACTCAGCCTCGGGTTTTCTCCTCTTCAGCCTTCTGGTTTTGTGCTATGAGCTTCCCTTTGCCTTTTGACTTCACACGGAACATACACGATGCTGCGACTTCAAACAGCCGCGTAAACGACTAGCAAACCCGACTCCGGGACCTCAAATAGCCGTGTAAACGGCCTCCTTTGCTTCTTCTACATACACCACCGTGCTGACCGTACTCTGAACTAGCCAGAGATCCGTGGTCGATTTCCTCCGATGCTAGGAATGGGTTGTTTAACCCCTTTTTTGGTCTGATATATTATGACCCTTAAATTTTTAATCCTAACATAGGTCTGATACCATGTAAAGAGTTATAGAAGAAAAATACTAAATATTTTTTGTATTTCATTCTATAGGTTTAGGAGTACATATACATAGAAGAAGGATCTATATATGAAAATATAAATCACCCCATTAATGTTAGGAAATTAACTAATAATTACATAAAAATATTTTGTAATATATTTTGTAATATTCTAAGAGGAAAGTTAATGCTTCTTCTAGTGTTTGAGGTTTTTGTTTGGACTGCAGCTCAGAGAAAGTTGAATATTAGTTGTTTGCTTCAAACTCGTAGATCAAATCAAGCCTTGTGTGATGTGCTTTAGAGCCATAGAGATTCATGAGTATCTTTGTTTTGCATTTGGTTGTATGGAGAATATTTTTTGGATAGAAAAAGAAGTTTATCAGAATTAAATGGAAAATAATTACAATTACGTAGAAATTTATCAGGATTATATGTTTTTTGGACACTTCCTTTTCACTTAGAAATTAGATGTTTTTGTTGGATAAAAAAAGATCTACTAAGGTAAGAGGAAACGATACAAAGAAACGCAGAATAGATATCCTCCAGAAATTACACAGTAGTAAGCCAAAAGAATTAGAAAAATTAAAATTCATAAAGAATATACTAAATTAATGACCAAAAGTAATAATCTCCCAATTCTGATGGAGTTCATAAATAGACAAGTTAGAGAATTTCCATGCGACCTGACCCATAATGATGCCAAAATTGTTACTTTATTTGATATCTCATGGAAAGACGTAACCCAGTTGTCAAAAATTTTCGAGCAAGCAAGATTGTCCACAAGCCAGTAAAGATAGCTCCTGGCAGCAAAATGTTTTGCTTCCTCTTTGACTTGATCACCCTTTAAATAGATCCCTAAAAGGCTTTCAACTGTAGGAGTGACACATGTTAATGCCAAAGAGAGTTAACAAGTTTAGTCCAAAGCTTCCAAGCAACTTTGCAAAGAATAAATAAATGGGAGTGTGTCTCTTGTCCTTCAAAGTATATCACATAGATGTCTGGAGATAGTGCATGGTTCGGGCTTGGACCTATAGCATCTCCTTAATGCTGAGCCTTTGATGCATCACTGTCTATGTAAATACATTTACTTTTGAAGGAACCAACGATTTCCAAAAACAAATTGGAAATATGAAGTTGGCTAGGGGTATGATGTTTTATGAGATATTCAAAAAAGAATTAGAATTGTATGTCCTCAACGGATTCAAGGTCCAAATTCTTGCATCTGGAAGTGCAGAAAGGTGAATCAGCTTTAGTTGAGTCAAACTATTTTGCGACTCAGGAACCTCCCTATCTGATAGATCATGGGTGAAATAAAAATTCTAGGCCACGTTCTCCTCTATGTTTGAAATAAATTCCGAGACAGTGATGTTGTGTCTTGATGAAAGGTTAAACAGTCGGAAAAATTATGTGGCTAGATGTTGTTCTTCCACCCAGGTATTTTCCAAACTCTCACTCTAGAACTATAAACTTGAAGTTGGGCGAGGGATTAGAACAAAGGAAGTACTTGAGAGATGGCATTCCATCTTCTCAGCGAGCCTGCCTCTGTCATTGAGCGCAAGGCATATTATTTGACAGCAATCCATGTTCTGCATGGGATATCTGTTCACTGGCACCTTTTTCTTCATTGTGTGTTTTTTTCCCAACGTGCTTTTGTGCTTATATGTGTGTGCTATAAGTAAGGTTCATTTTTTTGGATGGATATATAACCCTTGGTACCTTCTTGTACTTGCTGTTGTAAATATATGAGTTATGCTTTGCATTCTTATTTCTCTTCCTTGTTGGGATGCAAGATATTGAACTAATATGTTTGTATTATTATAAGTAAGGTTCTTCATTTTTTTGATGGATATGTAACCTTTGGTATCTTCTGATACTTGCTGTTGTAAATATGACTTATACTTTGCATTCTTATTTCTCTTTCTTGTTAGGATGCAAGATATTGAACTAATATGTTTGTATTGTAAGTAAGGTTCTTCATTTTTTTTGATGGATATGGAACCCTTGGTACCTTCTGGTACTTGCTGTTGTAAATATATGACTTATGCTTCGCATTCTTATTTCTCTTCCTTGTTAGGATGCAAGATATTGAACTTATGCACATGCGATATGCTCTGGAGTCCGCTGTCCTTGGGCTGGGAGCAATTGAAGTGAGTCTAACAGATGAAAAGGATGGTCAGGGCCTAATGGCATTCTGCCATTTGAAAGACCTCAGGATCCATTTGGATGCCATTGCAAATATTCCTCGCAAGGTCTTCTCTTTGTATTTGCATTTTTTTTGATCATGTTGCCTTTCCATTTTGGTTTCCAGGGCTGTGGTTTCCTCATTTATGCAAATGCGAGAAGACCAAATTGTTAATTTACATTATACGTTACACAGAATGATTTTTTTTTTGCATATTTATTCTTGTAGTTGTTTTAAATGGATAATGTGTCTACTTCATAATGTGTTTGGATCTCCATTTTGTGTTAAGGCGATTTCCTATCTTTTGTGTATTTTTGGTTGTCATTTTTCTTTACCTTTTGGAGGATATATTGTCCTCTCCTTCTCTTTTTGTGACTTCTCTTTGCCTTGAATAAAGTTTTTATTCTATTGAAGGAAAGAAGAGATAAAAAACTTTGCAATAATCATCGAGAAAGATTTTCTTCAATATGTTACATGCATTAGCCTTTATGGGGTTCCTTAAAGTTCATCATGTCTGAAATAATGATGTGAGAAGGTGGTTACATAAAATATATCCATTCTTTCCTCTGTTTAGTATTTGCATAATGATCATTCTATTGATTGGTGCAGATCTTTATGGTGAATGTTATAATTGCACTTCTACATATAGATGGCATCTCTCTCAATTTGATGAATTGTGCCCCTCAAGGGAGCTTTTCTGATTCACATTCTGCACGTGCTTGGGAGAACACTGATTTGATGGCATGTGAAGGGAGAAACAATATGGTTATATCTTTCACGGGCTTGCTACTTGATATCTTACGCCACAATCTTCCATTAACAGTAACTGGACAGGAGCATGCTTTAAATGAAGGTGCAAATATGGATGGAAGACAGGCCTTGGAGTGGAGGATTGCCATGGCTAAACGTTTTATTGAGGATTGGGAATGGCGTTTATCAGTTCTACAGCATCTTCTACCATTATCTGAACGACAGTGGAGTTGGAAGGAGGCATTGACTGTGTTACGGGCAGCCCCTTCCAAGCTGCTTAATCTGTAAGTTCGTTTAAGATGTTTTATGAAAATAATACAATTGCTAGATCTTTACGAAATTAATGTGTATGATATTTTCCAAATCATGTCGTTATTAATTGGATCCCCAATATGCATAAATTCTTCATATGGGTGATTGACTCTGATTTTTAAAGACGCAAGAATTTGGAAATTTTGGTTACTGCACTAAACTATTTATTTTATCCATCTTCCTGCACAAGTAAATTTAGAATTTAGTGCAACCGATTGTTACTTGGTTTGTTTAACAGCTCTTCAATTTGCATATTGAATTTTTTAGTTTGAAACATGATACGGAATCCCTTGGAGTTCTTCTTGGTTCTTTTTTTTTTTTTAGGATAAAAGTGAATAAGTGTATTAAAAAGCATGAAGGGATTGCCGCTCATGTACAAAAAATTTTACTTATCCATAAGTATATCCACAATTGCTCTAATATCGTCAATAGTTTGTAAATTATGATTCAAATGAATGGAGACAAAATAGTGTAATCATCTATCTTTAATATTTATAAAGGATTCTTCTTTATCCTCAAAAACCCTATTTGTTTTTTTCCTTCCATATGACCCAAAATATAGTTGCAGGCCGCTGGTTTTTCCGGAGCAAGACCTTCCCATGCTAGGGGTTCATTACTGATATAACCCACAATTACCCAATTAATCCCCATCAAGCTGTAAACAAAAGTTCCATATGTTGTAGGAGAATGGGCACCAAAGAAGGAGGTGATTATAGCTCTCAGCCCCGCTCGTGTAGAGGAAGCATCTGTTAACCAAAGTCATTCCTCTTCTCATCAAATTATTAATAGTGAAAACTCTCTCCCTGGCTGCCTCCCACGCAAAGAAAGCAATTCTAGGTGAAGCACTAGTCTTTCAGATGGCTTTGTTGAAAAAATTTTTGTTAGGATCATTTCCATTAGCTAGTTTTCTGTAGAAAGAACTAACCGAGTACTTGCCACTTTTGCTCAGATTCCACCTGATGGTATCTTACCTTGTCGGTAAATTGACCTTTGCCATCAAATGCAAGAAATTCTCATATTCCTCCAATTCCTAGTCATTAAGATGTCTGTTGACAGCAACCAAACATTGGCCAGTATCACTGAAAGCATCACACACCTGCAGGTTTTTAGTCTGGGCAATGGCGTACACGTTGGGAAATTTAGATTTTAAACTTTTTGCACTCCGCCAAGAGTCATGCCAGAAATTAATTTTGTCCCCTTTCCCAACATCCCAAACAGTGTTATTGATGAAGACATTATAAATAGACATTATGCACTTCCAAGTGCTAGTGCCGCGGGACCTAGGAGGGAGTTTGAGGCGTCCATCACAATCTCTTTTCATCCATTTTTGCTTGATGATTCTTTTCCACAAGTTGTCTTTCTCATTGAAAAATCTCCAAATCCATTTGCCATGAAGGGCTTTGTTCATTGTTGTTATTGTTCTTAGTTTGAGGCTGCCCTTTTTCATTGGAAGCTTAAACATCATCCCATTTGACAAGATGGAAGATATATTTGTCCTTGAATCCTCCCTAAAGGAAGCTGTTTTAGACGGATTCAATTTGTTTGACCACTTTAATCGGAATAGTGAGTGCTGATAAGTAATAAATGGGGAGATTTGAGAGTGTACTTTTGATGAGAGTCAATCTGCCCCTCTTGAAAAGAAAACCCCTCCTCCAATTAGCAAGCTTTTTTTGCATAAGGTCAACAATTGGCTCCCAACCTCTATCATCTTTGTATTTGAGGCCCCACAGGAAACGTAGATATTTAATGGGAAGAGATTTTTCTTGACAACCCAAGACCTTAGCCAAGGTGAGTCCCAGCATCACCTGTACCGATTCCCACAATTTTAGATTTTTCAAGATTAATTTTGAGACCCGAAGCAGCTTGAAAACATAGGAGAATGCATCTCAAGTTCAGTAGGTAATCAATTTTAGGTTTGCCAGAAAATGAGGGAATCATCTGTGAAAAAAAGGTGTGTGACAACAATTTATTCGCTCCCTTTACCCAGGGAAATACCCTCAATCAGCCTCAGATTTGCGGCTTTCGTTAAGAGTCTGCTTAAGGCATCCATATCAATGATAAAGAGTAGGGGAGAAGCGGGTCACTTTATCGTAAACTCCTGGATGTGCGGGAAAAAAAGGGCCTCCGTTAATCATAACCGTGAAGTTAGGGATGGTAATATAGGTGTTGATCTATTTCCTCCATTTTTTCCCAAATCCCAATCTACCTAGCATATAATCCACAAATTTCCAGTTGACATGGTCAATCGCTTTTTCTATATCTAATTTGCAAAGCACCCCTTCTTTTTTACCAACCAACAACTCATCGGCCATCTCATTTGTAATCATGAAGACATCTGTAATTTGTTTCCCTCTAACAAAAGCATGCTGATTCTCACTAATGATCAGATGAAGCATGTTTGAAATTTTTTTGGATAACACGTTATAAATCAGCTTATATAAATTGCTAACCAGACTTATTGGACGGAAATCAGTAAAACTCTTTGCCTCCTCTTTTTTGGGCATGAGAACAATAAAAGTAGAGTTTAAAGATTTGAAACTCCTTGAAAAGTCCAATCACATCCTCTTTAATTAGATTCCAGAAGGTCTGTAGAAATTTGAGATTAAACCTGTCCGGGTCTAGAGCTTTGTCTCCATTACAGCCTCACAGAGCAACCAAGATCTCTTCGTCAGAAAATTCCGCTTGAAGCCGTTCGCAGGTGGAATTGTCCAGTGTGTCAAAATGTTGGTTGTCAAGCTTCGGGCGAAGAGGAAACTCTTCAGTATACAACTTGCAGATGGAAATCCTTCGCAGCCTCCCTCATTGCACCATTCCCAGATATGGTATCCCTCTCGAAAGTCAATTCCTCAACATAATTTGTTCTTCTTCTATGGTTCGCTAGGTAGTGAAAAATTTTAGTATTCCTGTCTCTTAAGCCATTTTTCTCTGGATTTTTTTTTCTAGGAGATCGCGTCCATATGTAGCCTGTCAACCAGATCAAAATTCAGTTTGTTTCTTCTGCTGCTTTCCACCGAGTTAAGACCCGAGACACCTTCTTGTCTCTCCAGCAAATTTAATTCCTCCATGATCTCATTAATAGTCCCTTCCTCTTTCAGACCCACCTTTCTAGTCCATTTTTTGATTTCAGATTTCAAAATTTTGAATTTGTAGGACTTGCTGATCCTTCCACTCTTGAACTGTTCCATATCCTCCTAACCATCTCCTTCAAACTTTAAAGCATTAGCCATTTGTTATCAAAATGGAAAGGAATAGGGCCCAAACAAATATCATTATCATCTAAAAAAAGTAAAAGAGTCAGAAATAGGTTTCGGCAATACTTTTTGACATAAATCGGGCAAACTGAGAAGGAGAGATGGATCAACTAGAAATCGATCTATTCTGGAGAAAGTAGGTGGTTCCCATTGGTTACTCCATGTCCAAGAGCCCCCCATCAGTGGGATATCAGACAGATTAAAAGCCTCCAAGTTATCTTTGAATTCAGATGCAATGAACCCAAAGAAGTGATCCCTGGAGCGCTTATTCCGACTGAGTACCATGTTGAAATTACCACCGAGTACATCTACATTATCCCATCTGGTTTGACAGTCAGCCAGCTCCTTCTGGAGCAAATCACGCTCTTCTTTGTTACCACGACAATAGATACTCGTAAAATGCTATTTTGTTTTATGTGAATCCCCAACAAATAGATAAGAAACAGTTATGCCTCCAATAAAATGGTTAAATAATCTACTTTTTCCTTATTCCATATTAGTAAAATGCTCCCGTCAGAGCCCAAGGCAGGTAGGTTGATCCAACTTACATCATTTAAGCACCATAAACTCTTTATGATTTTGTCACTGATCACCTCCAACTTGGTCTCTTGAAGACAAACAATTTTTGGCTTCCAACAGCTAAGACAACCTTTTATGATATTTCTTTTTCTTTTTTGTGATTGGTTTAATCTCCGCACATTCCATGAGAGGATATTATCTAACACTTGATCTAGACAATTCAGCCCCATCTCTTTATGTTTCTTGTTCTTGCCATCATAACTAATGAAAGTCTGGAGCCTCTTAAGCTCTCTTATTTCTCCTCTTTTCTTCTTTGCTTTCCTTGTGGTCTCCTCGTCTTTCTTCTTTACCACCATTCTCTTTTCTAACTCGACGAACAGGAAATACACGTATTGTTCCAGACCTTCAAAAATAGTCCCCAAAACTTCACTAACAAGTTGGATATTTTGCAAGACCCAAGCTAAATAAATTTGTTCCACGTTGTGTCGACAGACAACACTTCCTTCGTAATACATAGGGTTGACATATAATTTAAAGGGCCACCCGGGTTGATCTCGCCGTAGTCTGTGTCAAAAACAACCATAATTTTAAGGTCAAAAGGAGAAGGGGACATATCTTTGAGCGCCTCAAAACACCCATTTTCCATGAACCTCATAGTTAACGAAGCTTCTTCTTCCTCTTCTTTATTGGAGCTAGGATTGACATTAGACTTTGGATTATACGAGCCCTCCGCTAAGGGAATGAGATTTATAATCTCAATCTGCCCTTGGATCTTGGTCTTTGTCCATAGTTAGGATCACCCTTTTAATCGGTGAATATTTCTTTTTGGGCTTCCACAACCATTTCACCTTTGGGTTGTTTTTTTTTTCCCTAACTTCCTTACTCGGCCTGATGTGTTCCACCCATTTACCCTTTTCATCATTGGTGTATTTGGGTTTCCAAGTCGATTCTTGTTGTGGGCCTGTCAAACTAGGCTTCTCCACTCGCTTGCCCGCATTGAATGGAATTTTAATTTCAAAACCTACTCGGGTTGAAGATGGGTCAGGTTGTGTTGTCTCTACCTTAGAGACCGAAACTCATTCAGGTTGAAACAACTCCAAGAGTCTTTTGCTTGTTGGTTACTACTTTGACACAAAAGCTTTGATTACGATTGGTACAACAAAATGACATAGACAATAGAGGGGGCGAGCTCGATTTGCAAGACGCATCCATTGGGATTTGGCAGGACGGAAGTTTGTATCTTTTTTAAGGATGCACCAATGGGATGTCGGCCAGTTCAAAGACAGATTTCATCAATCTTCACCATCCACCAGCCTGGACTCCTTATGGGAAGAGTAGTCATTTAAAGAACTTTCCTTTTTGCTCTGACAGTACTAAAAATCTTCCGTTCCAATTCCAATAGAGGGCGAGCCATAATGTACGGTTACATCCCATGAGTTTCTTTCCCCACATTACACCCCCTTTGTACCAGTAAAAACCACTGAGCGAATCGACAAGCCATGTAACCTCCTTCTTAACTAGTGATATCGTAACCCTAAAGCCTTTGCCGTTTTTACAAAGTCTCAATCCATCCAAAAGTTTCCCATTTCTAATGACGTCGAAAGACTTCCTATCGACCAGGAAGAATTTTCTGTTTTGGTCCTTCGACATTGTAGCTCAAGTTTTTGGTCCCACTGCGCATTCTGGTCCGAGGTTGTTGTGTTTGACTTTCGTGTCAAGTGAAGGTGGAAGAAAGGAGTTAGGTTTGAGTGGTGCGAGGCGAAGGTAGAGGAAGAGTAGAGGGAGAGAAAGCGAGAAAGGAGAGAGGTTGTTAATCTATATCTTTTTTTTATAAATAAATTGTATAAAATATGTATATTAACATTCTATCGAAAGGGTACCACTCATGTACAATAAATTTACAATCGAGTTAGAGTATCAATGACAAGCTCAAAATGCTCATCCCTAATCACGTCGTGCCCCAATAAAATAGATCCAAAAAAAGTGAAACTACCTATCTCTCAATCTATGCATTTAAATCTCTTTTCCCTCAAAAGCTCTAAGGTTCTTCTCAATTCAAATAACTAAAAAAATTGTCAATTGAATCAAATTAATACAGTCTTTTCTTTTATTTAGTCCACCTCAAGCTCATATTTCCTCCCTAACAGTGCTTGACATCACTTAATTCATCTCTAACGCCTTGATTGAATGATTTACATGAAGGTTCATTAATGTCGGATACGGTTAGATGTGTAAGGTTTATTAATGTTCAAATTTAATCATATTTGGATGATGGTTTATTAGTGTTTGATAGTGTCAACTGTTTTTATTTAGATTGACTGGATGGTATGATTGTATATTTGAACAAATTTTCTATTTTGACTCTATTTTATTGTATATACTAATAAATGAAAAATAAAAAGAGAAAAGATTAAAAAAAAATATAGTGTTAAATATAGATTTATATAAATATATATAATTAAATATATATATAATTAAAGATATATATACAATTAAATATATTATATACATCTATATTTATAATTAAAATATTATATACATGTATAATATGTAGGTAAAAACATAAATACATATATATGATAAAATATGTATATATAATATATATTATATACATTTATTTATATATAATTACATATATAAATACATATATACATATATAAATTTATATATATATATAATAAAATATATAAAAATATAGAAGCTCCTGAGTGTAGTGCTGCAATTTCACAAACTCTATTTTGAGAAGAAGAAGAAGAATAAAGAAAAAGTGTTGGTAGAAGAAATTAAAGAGAAGGGTAATGCTGTAAATTATAAAAAATATTAAGGGTATAAAGAGAAAAAATTATCAAACCATCATAAAACCACCGAATTGGTGGTTTGAAAAAATAGAAAAAATCATGGTTTTGAGAATGTTGACTTAACTACTACAAAACTATATCATGTGTTTGGAAATGTAAATAAATAGAAGAAAAACTATGAAAAAACTATACCATCATTATTGAACCATCATCCAAACAAGACCTAAGAGGCCAAACACCATGCTTCACAGCACACAAGTCACTGAACACCATAATTAGAGATGGTTACATGTCTCTGCAGCATTCAAACATAGGTAACAACGGTTAACAAGATAATGTCCCCTCATCATCAGCTTATCAATTGTTAATATACATTCCCAGCTAGCCTCCTAGGCTAAGAAAACAATTCTTGGTGACACTCTTGATTTCCAAATCCGTTTTGCTGAGAAAGTATTTTCTGGAACATGCCTTTCCCCTCTTAGATGGCAATAGTAGGACTTTGCAGAAAACTGACCATTTTGATTCATCTTCCATGTCACCCGGTCAGCCATATTATTCAGCTGCTGTGATTCCAGAAGGCTCGAGATTTTCATACCCATGCACCTCCCAATTCCTGTATACAAGATTGGTGACCAATTTTTCAGTTAATCTATCCCTTATTTGTTTAATGCCTATCTTATGCCCTTGATTTCAAACTCCGAGTTCTTCTTGATTCTTGATTTGGTACGTTAAATGCATAAATCAAAATCACGAAAAAAGTCGTGATTGAAGTCTTGCAGAACGAAATTTGGATTGTGGCAGAAAATAGCTTGGGTGTATGATAAATATTTGAATATCGAGGAACCTTTGGCTTTTGTAGTATTTGAGCCATAGATAAATAGAGATCCCAGCCATCTCTCTTGTTCCCATGGATGCTTCTGATCACTCTATGTCACAAAGAGCCCGGTTCCTTCAGGAAGCGCTAGAACCATTTAGCCGATAAAGATATGTCTTTCATATGAGATTCCCAATCCCCAACCTCCTGAATTTTTGAACTTACTGCTCATCTGCCAACTTAATAGATGGTCTTTATAGTCTGCCCTGTCCTCCAACAAGAGGAACTTTATCATGTGACCCTCAATCCTCTTCGCATTATGTGAATAACGAAAGGGATTTCTATTTATTCATTCTTTGTGAGGTCATAGAAATTGTGGACGAGAATGATTAACCCGTTTGGTTTAAGCTGGTTAACTCCTCCAAATAGTTTGAAGAGGTTTATGAGATTGTGTTTCCACGGTGAAGGGGTTAGGGAGGCGGCGAAGCGACTATGGAAAGGGACTACTTTTGCTGGTTTGTGGCCCATATGGCTTGAGAGAAACCACAGGATATTGTAGGACCACTGCTTGTTATCCATGAGTTGTAGGAAAGGGGAACGTTCTTGACCATTTTATGAGCTAAAGCTCATGGGAATTATTCCAGTTCAGCGATTTCTGAGTTTCATCAGAACTAGGAGGTGATCATTTTGTTACCATAGGTGTTTTTGGCTGTTTTACATTTATATTTATTGAGGAGGGTTTCTTATTTTTTTGTATATGTATTTTTCCTGTTGATTCCTGGTAATACTTTTTCTACATGGAAAATGACTTTTCTGGCTTTTTTTGTGGCCCAAGGAACGTAACTTTTTTAGAGATATTTCGTTGTCCATATTGCAGAAGAATTGGGAAGCAATCTTTTTAATAGATTTTATGTTTCTGTTTATTCTTGTTTTTTGTCAACTTCAAAGGTGAGTTAGAGGATGTCTTGTCCTCAATGGTGTCTCTCTTCTTTCTCTGATCATGATTTATACTTAGAAAAGTACTATTTTTTTAATAAAGAAAAAGATTACTTTGTCTCCAATATTATTTTTGATAAAAGGGGAAATATCATCAAAATAAACTTAGTCATGAACTAGTGCCACTTATATACATGGGATTTATAAAAAAATCAGTAACTAAAAGGTTTCCAAGGTTCCCCAGATTCTCTCTGTCCACAAAAAACTTAGATATTGTAATCTTGAACCTCTAGTTCTAGCAAAAGGAAACAAATACATGGGATTTATAAAAAAATCAGTAACTAAAAGGTTTCCAAGGTTCCCCAGATTCTCTCTGTCCACAAAAAACTTAGATATTGTAATCTTGAACCTCAAGTTCTAGCAAAAGGAAACAAAATATCCTCAAAGCTCTTGTTTCTCTCTCTTAAAATGGTCCAAAAAATACACATGGTAATAAGATTAAAGAGGGTTTTTTTTGCTCAATTTACGAAGTCTAGTGCTCGGTTGAGGCCAAAACTAATGAAGGTGAAGAAGGCAAGTCGTAGACTTGATTTGAAAATGTTGCAGACTCATATCATTCAATCTAGTTTCTATTTTGTTTCCGAAGAAAAGATTTCTATGTCATATAGGTATTTGGTTTCAAATCCTTGGTGATTAACTTTATCGAAATGCCTGTAAAATCTTTTTGATGTTGACATCAAATTTGGAGAAAGAGAAAATAGCTCAAAATTACCGGGAAATGATGCAAATGTCTTTTTCTGGTTCTGTAACCATATTAGCTATTGACAAATTAATCCCTGTCTCTTCTGGTGCTCCTGTTACTATGTGTGCTATTGAAAAGTAATGCATTTATTCATCTAAGTTTCTTCATTGGCTCTACATAGTGATTGCCATTTTCCTATAGATCGTGATTGTTATTAAATTGAGAGACTGTTCTCTGGTAGACTATTTGTTATATGGTGGACCTGTGTTCAGTATGGCTAAGGAGATGTTCTATTTGTTAAATTATAGCCAGAGATCCATTATTTAATACTTCTTGGAGTGTGCATGTTGAAGTTGCTATAGACCTTTTGAAGTAAAAAAGGGAAACAAAATATGATGAGGTTCTTTTATGCTGCAGTTGCATGCAAAGGGCAAAGTATGATATTGGAGAAGAAGCAGTTCATCGATTTTCATTATCTGCTGAGGACAGAGCTACCCTTGAATTAGCTGAATGGGTGGATACTGCCTTTAGAAAAGCATCAGTATGATCTAATTGGTTCTACATCTTTCAAATATTTCTTCACATTATTGTTTCTCCACATTGTATTTTTTTTTAATTGATAATTTCTCTAATTTTGAAATTGAGAGTTTTTAGGTTTCTAAACATGATATATTTCTACTTGTAGTTATCTTTGTTTAGATTTTTCTATCTTGACCTTGCAATTTATCTAGTGATTTCATAGCTGTAGCGTATATTGTTTATTGATTCTCGTAGAAATAAATTAGCTTCTTTTAATTGTTGCTGTACCTAGGCACACCATCTTGGGGTTGTTCTCTTAAGCATGTTCTGACTTTATCAACTACCAAGGGAAAAGGTGAGGTTAAGGCTTTGGCCCGTGGCTGTTCCTGTTGTTTGATTAGACCAAGAAAAGACCTTCTTCAACTACTGGTGATATTTAGATATGGCAGGAAGGTGACTGGATGAGTTCCATCATTTTCCATTTCTTACCTAAGACCATTTTCTTTTCTCATTGTGTGATAGTATTATTATCCCAGATTTGGGATCAATCATGGTTTGCTAAGATTGGAATAAGTAAAATTAAGGTTTTAGGGCTAATTAGAGGGAACCCTTCAATCTAGAGTTCAGTACGGGGATAAATTCTTCATTTTGATGCAATAGTGTAGAATTCTATTGCAAGTGTTTTTCATTTGGATCATGCATGAATTGATTTACCATGCTCACAACAGAAGCTATATCCAACCTGTCGAGGTATAAGTAAATCAATCTCCCCATTAACCTGTAATATCCTATACTATCTACCACAATATCATCTTCCTAGTCACCCAACCTATAATTAAGCTTAATATGTATGCTAGTTGCCTTGGAGCCAAGTATTCCATTTTCCTTAAGGAGTTCCGACATGTATTTCAGTTGAGAAATAAAAAGACTTTCTTTGAGGTATGCCGCTTAATGCTTTGGAAATACTTAAATTTTCCTAGTCCTTTAATCTCAAATTCGTAACTAGGATTAATGAGGGTTCTCTTTTGGCTTGTCCATTTCTTGTTACGATGATATTATCCAGATAAACAAGGCTATGACTATCCTTGTAGTTGAATGCATCCGTTGGCTCTAATGTAACCTTTGAGAACCTGCCAGCCATGCTTTATAGAATCACTTTAAGCCATCAATTGCTTTCTTCTATATGTATACTCATTGCTACTAAGATTCTCATTAGCTACAAGTGGAGGTTCCATAAGTACCTTATTTTCTAGGTCACCATGCAAAAAGTTATTCTAAATATCATATTGCTCTATATACCAATTAGAATTAGGAGGAAAGGAAAACAATACAAACTATTACGAGTATCCATGGTGCTTGTCGAAATAGATGGGATGTTCTTGTAGGGAGATTTGGATTGTCTAATAGCCTTTGGAAAGCCATATCACACTTGCACAAGGTTTTCCTTCCCCACCTGACTAAAGGTTGGCAATGGCAACGGAGTCCTGTTACAGGATGACCATTGGATTCGAAATATCCCTTGATGCTCAATTTCCATGTCTATACAACATCTCCATTAGACATGATAAACCCATTCCTTGTTTGTTGTGATCCATAATGATGTTGCCTGGAATTTTTATTTTCTTGTAGCCTGACCAATAGGGCGACTGAGGACTTAATCGCTTTATTGCATATATTAGATACCCATCATCATTCTTAGACATTTGAGTCTTTAGATCCTTTTTGGTCTATATACTAGTAACTCCTTTCTTCACCACTTGGCTACACACCTTACCAGCTCCCATATTCCTTGTGTTAATGTGTTCTAGACGTGTAAGAGTCCCCTCTAAGATTAAGGTGCTTTTATATGGACAAGAACTCTTACTATGCTTGATACCCACGAGTTACTACAAAAGCGTCGACCAAATTGAGTTATCTTTACAACATTTCCTTTACGTGTCCATGGAGTAAGGTGACATGACTTTTTTTGCATTGTTATCTGACATGGAGTTTATGGTCAAGGCTATTTGGCCTTTTGAGGATCCATTGAATTACTCTTCATTAGGTGGAATCTATTGTTTACTTTCAACATGAGGTTTGTAAAAGGTCTTTCCTTTTTTTTTAAAAAGTTTTGACATTGAATGCCTAATCGGGTTTGTAAAAGAGTTTAGAAATTATTAACTCAAAGATTTGGTATAATGTTATGAATGGGTTTTTAATTGATATATATTCTATTGAATATTACAGTTCTATATATACAAGTTTTTCAGGACAGAAAATGATAAGACAATTGATTACAATTAATTATAAGGATGTAATTTTACCCTTATATCATTTTACCTGATTTGCTTCATCTTTAACACGTTAATTTTGTTTGTCTTTAGCACTTTGATTTACTTTCTCTTTTAACACCTTGATGTACTTCCTTATTAACAAATCATTATCCCTAGTTTTTGCGTAATAGAGAACTAGATCTATCATTAACTTACTGAGGGCCTTAGCCTATTGGGAAGGCTGAAATGTAATACTCTCCCATAGAACTTGAGCCGGAAATGTACGATTTTCAAAAATTCTATTATTTTGTTCTAGCTATAATGTCTACAAGCCGACAAATGAAGTACCTCATAGAATTTCCAATATTTACATTTTAAAAAATTGGACGAGATGCACACTTAAACAAATTAAAATGTGGATGCACAAGGCAGAAGTGGCCCAACAAATCTCACATATTTGATAAAGAATTTTTAATTATGGCGGAAAGAGCTAGCTGGTTTTCCTTGTTTATACCCATCTTTTCAAGTTAGTAATGCCCATTTCTTTCTCTAGCAAATCCAGTCATCCTCCATCTTACCTGATACAAAAATGCAAAGTGTAGAAAAGGAAATCGCTATGCGGTTTAAGTCCATGATGAGTTGGTGAAGGGATACAAGATTAGTGGATAAATTTTGGGGTATGTAATATATTCTTTAAAGAAAAGGAGTCATTAGTTTTACTGTCCCTTGTCCAACAACTATTAAAGGTGATCCATTTGTCAGTGAAATGGAGTACATGTAAAGTGAATATGGTTAAGCTATGTGTCATGTTATGAGTCTACCAAGTCTACAGGACAAGAACTGGAGGGAGGGAGGTGAATTTTAGGCACTAAAAAGATAAGACAAAAGTTAGTTACCTGATTGATCCAACGAGCAAGCAATATTGGGTTTAGCAACGAGAATTGAGAAGATCTTCTAGTTTTTCAATTTCCTCCTCCTTTAGTGTTCAAAAATGTTGTTATTGGGGTTGAACATGTTGTGGGCTGACGGTTTCTCAAGAGGATTCTTCTTCATTGTGAGTTGCACTTGGCTCTGTGGATGTGCTTTAAACCTCCCATTTCGGCTACGAACTTGAGCTTTTCTATGGAGATAATTCTCCTTTGTATGGCAGGTGTGACTTCTTAGAGTATGTGCACATTCCTTCCTGGGTAAGTGGTTAGAGCACTCTAATCTTCTATTTCTTAATTTACCATTTTTTTATGGATTACCTTGAGTGCATCATCCATGAATTTTGTGGATATGGCTGGGCTGTCTATTATTTGAGAATTAAGCACAAGTTTTCTTCTGCTATCCTAAGCACAAAGTTTTGGAAAAGTCTTATTTAAAGGGGGTGAGCGTCCGTTTATAGTAGAATGCTCATTTTGTCGGATTGTGCATTAAGACCTGCAAGAAATTGGAAGATTCTTTCTTTTTCGACAAAACTCTTGGCTTACAGCATCCTCACTACATTTCATCTTAATATTATGCTAATGATCTATTCATCATAAACCTTTCATGAATTTACAGTATTCTTTTGCTGAAAATGTGGTGTATTTAGTCTTTGTTTCGTGGACAGGAGAAATATCGTAAGTCTTGGAGTACGTCAGCCAAATGGCTTTTTAGGTCTCTCTAGTGGTTGTGAGAAATATAAAGCTCCTATTGATTCATGTTGCTGGAATTCCAAAAACCAAGACATAACCACAAAATCTTTATCGTTTCGTGCATTAAAGTTGGGATTTTTTGGTTCTGGACTGTTTCCACTTGGAGGCTTAAATTTCCTCTTCCCTTTTGATATGTTCGCACAATATGTGACAATTGTTGATGGTTTCTTTCCCCTACATTTAGCTGATATGAACGATCAATGTTCTGCAGTTCCAATATTGATTGATTTGGAAGATATTTGATATTGGTCACAAGGTGTGATGAATTTTTAGAGAAGTTAGTCATTTTCCACAAAAAAAAGGAAGTGGAAGAAGAATGTTTTGGCAATAATCAGCAATGAAGGCTGATGAACTTTTCTAGTTAAGCACTGAAGGTTTTATAATAAGAAGGTTAAACAATGAAGCTGAAAAAAATAAGAATCAGAGAGCAGACTGCTCTGCTGCATGTTGAAAGGAATAAGTTCGTTCTTACTGATGCATGATCAGTTTTTTACACAAAAACATGTGCCTATTAGAAATTTGACCTTACAATCAAGTGTAAAAATCTGGGGATCTTCTAAGGATAATGAATCATTTAAACTGGTTAATATTTAGCTCCAAGTTTGTCGACTGAATTGTCCTTTATTTGCAAAGGTATTTGTGATGTGTTA